CTCCGTCCTCTCTTGTCGTTGCGTCTCCTCCTCTGTCTGACTACTTTCGTGCCGCTCGTCCTCTTGTTCCTCGGGTCCTTGCCTCTCTCGTTACCGACCCGTCTGTTCCAGTGTCGAGTCTTGACGCCCTTGTCGCTGCGGTCGCTGACTTCGCCTCTACCCGCCGCCTTGACTACGCCTCCGCTCTGGTCTCTGACCCTGCCTGTCCTCCGTCTGTCGGGGGTGCTCCTGCCCTCGGCAGTGACGTCCTGGAGGACCGCCAGTTTGAGCTTGCTTTCCTGTCCGAGGCTGCTCCCCATCTCTGTTCCATGCTGCTAGTTCCTGAGGGTGACCCAGACGCTTTTGACATCCCGACCCCTCGTACTTACGCTGAGGCGGTTTCGGGACCTTGGGCCTCTCAGTGGATAGCTGCCATGGAGCAGGAGATGGCATCTTGGAGATCCACCGGCACCTTCGTCGACGCAGTTCCCCCACCTGGGGTGAACGTGGTCGATGGCCGTTGGCTCTTCAAGGTGAAGCGCCCTCCTGGAGAGCCGCCTGTGTTCAAGGCGCGTTACGTGGCTAGAGGCTTCAGTCAGCGCGAGGGGGTGGACTTCTTTCAGACTTTCGCTCCTACCCCGAAGATGACTACTCTTCGGGTTCTGCTACACGTAGCGGCTCAGCGTGACTACGAGCTTCACTCCCTCGACTTCTCCACTGCCTTTCTTCAGGGCAGCCTTCACGAGCAGGTCTACCTGCGTCGTCCTCAGGGCTTTACTGGCACCTTCCCCCCTGGGACCCAGTGGCTTCTGCGGCGCCCAGTCTACGGCCTGCGCCAGGCGCCTCGTGAGTGGCACGACATGCTGCGTGCTACTCTTGCTGACCTGCAGTTCTTTCCGTCCTCTGCAGACCCCTCGCTCTTCGTTCGTGCTGGCTCGACTCCGTTCTACATCCTCGTCTACGTAGACGACCTGGTCTTTGCCACAGCTGACAGGGACGCACTGGCCTCCGTGAAGGCAGAGCTGCTGAAGAGACACACCTGCACTGACCTTGGAGAGCTGCGCCGTTACCTTGGCTTGCAGATCTCCAGGGACAGAGCCGCCCGCACCATCACCCTGACTCAGTCACACTTGGTGCGCCAGGTCCTTCAGAGGTTCGGCCTTCAGTTCTCCTCCGCACAGCCCACCCCTCTTCCTCTGGACCACAGACTCTCCGCTCCAGTTCCTGAGGAGTCGGTAGATCCCAGTGGTCCTTACGCTGAGCTAGTGGGTTGCCTCATGTACCTGATGACTTGCACTCGCCCAGATCTCGCATACCCTCTCAGCATCCTGGCTCGTTTTGTGGCCACAGGCAGACACCGACCTCAGCACTGGTCTGCCGCTAAGAGGGTTTTGCGTTATCTTGCAAGTACATCGGGCATGGGGTTAGTGCTAGGCGGACGCAGGCCAGTGGTCCTTACTGGACACACAGACGCTTCTTGGGCAGACGACGCCGAGACGCTCAGGTCTTCCCAGGGCTACTGCTTTAGCCTTGGCTCAGGTGCTGTCTCGTGGAGACCTACCCGCTCCTCGTCGGTTGCCCAGTCCAGCTGTGAGGCTGAGATCTACGCCGGTGCCATGGCGGCACAGGAGCTCCGCTGGCTGACCTTCTTGCTCACTAACTTAGGTGAGCGGCCTAGCTCTGCCCCGGTCCTGTACGCTGACAATAGGGCCATGATTCTCCTGTGTCAGGAGCCTCGACTCGAGGGCAGAGCGAAGCACATCCAGCTGCGGTACTTCCTCCTGCGCGAGCTACAGCAGCGGCGCCAGGCTCGCGTAGTACACTTGGCCTCCGGTGCCAACACAGCTGATATCTTTACGAAGGCGCTTGCGCCTAAAGATCATCAGCGGCACTGTTTACAGCTTGGTCTGGTTCCTGTAGTCTCTCACTTACTCGGGCCTTGACTTTGTACTGTCGTATATATATATATGTATACACTCAGACTGGACTTGTGTCCTCTCACAGTGGTTGGACTAGTAGTGCCGCCCTGTACTCGTTCTTGCCTTGTCTGTACTCCTTCTGACTGGTCTTTTAGACCCTTGTCTCAGAGGCTGGACTAGTAGTGCCACCCTAAGCTACTTGTCTAGAACATTCCCCTATGCAGTCCAGGGGGTGTGTCAAACATGTGTAGTTATCATGTTCGTATAGACTGTATAGGGTCACCTTCTAGAGAGTACAACATTTAGGTATATGTTTGTGTACTCTCTCTCTCACATTATTCAATTCTAGGTTTGATACAACCTTCTTAGGGCATATTCCTGCAGCCTGGTTCCAGGATCAGGCTTGTGCGGTACTATGCAGTGTAGCAGTTAAAAATGCGTTTCATTACAGTTCATTTGGATTTCGTGCAAGTCTGATCCCGGAATCAGGTTATAGGAATACGCCCTTATCAACCATACTCTGCGCACCATAGCCTTTTCATCAACCGAGCCCCCAATCTCCGCTGATCTACCCTCCTTCACCATGTTGTTTTCATCCACATATCACATGACTTTCCATCTCAGGTGCATGTTTCAACTGCAGTGCAGAGCCTGAAACAGACAGTTTTCCACCAAATATGGTACACATATCCCAAGGCATACAGGGTGGTACACAGAATTGGCCTTCTCAGAATATTCTACACCCTCACTTCAGGGCTGTCAGTGTCACTGCAGGGCGGAGATCTTCTTCCAGGAGGGGCGGGAGGAGATTCTCTCCCACCACTTGTTGACATTGGGTCGGGAGGTGATGAGCTCCGAATCCCCTGACGCCCACAGCATGGCCGTGTACGGCAGGTGGGACAGATCCGCCAGGGAGAAAGCGGACCCGGCCAGGTACTCGCTGCTGGCCAGGTGGGCCTCGTACACGTCCAGCACCACTGAGAGCTGGAGGATGCAGGGGAGGGGGGAGAGAGGGGGGGGGTGGAGGGGAGGGCAAGTAATGGCAAAGATGTCTGAACTACAATGCTCTGCAAGTTGTAACTGTTGACTTTCTTCATTTCTGTGCACTACCAGCACATATTGGAAGTAGAAAACAAAAAGGTAAAAATACAAAGGTTGCGTACCTTAGCCTTCAGCTCTGCTGCCTTGGCCTCATCCGGCTCGCCCCCACCGAACATGGGCTTGAACACCTTCTCTGCGATCAGGGCTGAGATGGGCGGGTTGTAGTTCTGCGCCTCCACCTCCAGCCACTGGTTCACCAGCGCACGCTCCTGTAAGATAAGAGACATACTTGGAAGTGCTGTGAGGGGACTGAATCTGGCAGGTAGCTAGCCCTTCGAAAAGAGACTGTTGCAATCAAGTGGCATTAATGCTGACATTTGATAGAAGGGTTTTGCTGACGTGCTCCCACACATGCGTACCTTGAGCGTGGAACCAAGGAGGTCGGTGCCTTGGCTGGAGTTCTTGTCAGCGATGTAACGAGCGATGGCACGCGATTCTGGTGAAAGACAAGACAGCAAATTCGTACACAAAATCAGATTTCTGAGAAAGCTCATCATAGAACGGAAGATTTTACCGAGGTGCAAGTGGCGCTAGCAGGAAAAGGTCTGATGGGGGTGGAATTGGAAAGGACGCACAATGGGACGTGAACTTACCGAAGACTTGAACTTCCCCATCATCTAGAAAGGGAATGACTCCGAATGGCTGCAAGAAACAAAGGCCATGGACGATGGAGGACGTTAGGGAACGAGCTGCATCACGCTTCACGTAGAACGACTTTATGCTCGCATTAGCCGTGAAGGGTGTCAGAACCTCAGGGTGTGAAATTTCAGATTGCGATTTCAGCCCACCTGCTTCTTTTTGAACTCTTCCGACTTGTGCTCGCCTTTCCCGAGGTCCACCGGAACCACTTCGTACTCCTGAAACAGACAATGCCGAAATTACTTGAGTTCAGCCGCGTGGTTCCAATTTTAGAAGAAAAAAGAAAGAGAGAGAAAAAACGAAAACATGGCTGCAAGACGAAACGACATTCTTAGGAAAAGTACTTCCACCTCTTCATGCTAGCTCGTACCGTGACTGCCTTCTCCTCGAGAGTGGTCAGCACCCTTTTCGTGCACGTCGACATGTTCAAGCCGTAGACCTTCACTGGAGCCATGTCGGCGGGGAGAGCGGTGATTACGGTGATAGCAGTGATGAGTATTGAATGACGCCAGAAGAATAAGAGGCCAGAAAGACAGTGGACGATCGAAAGGGTTTAGATGTTCGAATGAAGCCTACAGCCGCCATGGCGCGTCTAAATACCCGTTAGCTTATCGCAACGCCCGACCGAACACGCGTTAGAGACGCGCGTTGGGGTGAATACTATCGGAGTCGGAAGTTCTAGAAAATAGCAAAGGCTGTTTCGACGACGCTTCTGTCCTTCCATGCCGACAGCCCCCTCTGCTCTGGACCGCAGGGCAGCAGAGGGCGATGCATGTGCTGCGAGGGGAAACCCAGATGGGATGATGAAGAGAAGAACCTCGGATCCGATGTATGTGCATGTGCATGAGAAGTTCGGGGAGGCAGGATCTAGGTTCTAGAACCTCGGAGGGAATGTCGTCAGAGAGACTTCCGGGCAAAATCTGGGGCTCGTGACATTCCCGAGGAAATCCCCAAGACGCATGACGTCAGGCTTGGTTTCGTCGCCACCGTAGCCTGTCTGGTTACACATTAATACATTCGTGCAATCTCGCTGCTTCAGTTCAAAAGAGCAAGCAATGACGAAAGCACGGCCCTGGCGAGATGTTACACTTTGGAGTTCGGGCAGAATTTAGTCGCAAAATGAAGGGTGTGGTCCTGTCATTGCCCCAGGTTCAGTGAATGCGCAGGAACCTTTCGTTGTGAGAGCATTGGCGAGAAACGTGTGTTCCAGGTAACGAGCGTTTTCCGGCTTCGTCATACATGAGCAGAATTCGCAAACAGATGGAGCCCATGCTGTGTGTTTCGAAACCTACCTGAACACGTCGTCAAGTTCTCTGTCCTTTCGTCAACATCTTGTCAATCTCGCCATTCCCTTTCCATCGCCGCTGCCACCACTTTCAGTAGCGGCAGCCGGAAACGGAACAGCACAGCAGAAGTGGAAACCACGTGGCGCTGACTCATCACAGCAGGCCAGACCAGCACCAGGAGCAGAAGCAGAAGCAACTTTATGAAGCCGCGCAGTAGCTTTTTAGCTTTTTAGCAGCACCGACCAGCTGCCGCCTCTCCCGCCTTCAACCAGTCAAGCCCGCCCTCCACGTAAAAAAAACACCGCTCTCCAGCCCGCCTTCCGCCCTTTCAACCGACCAACTCCGCCCTCTCCACCCTCCCGTCCTCCGCTCTCCCGTCCTCCGCCCTCCGCCTTCCCGTCCTCCGCGCTCCGCGCGATCATAGACCGACATGGCCACGCTTCTGCGTCGCGTCGCTGGCGATTGTAGACGGAGTAGCGGCGTGTCTGGCGCCGTGAGTCGCGCTGTCGGCCATTTTCGGAGCGGATTTGCGCGAAGCCCGCGCAGTTTCCTCCTCGACGCTCCTCCGAGTAGATGGGTCAGTGAACGAGTCCTTACCTGCGGTGTTTGTTTTCCGTCTAGTTACCACGCGCCATCGATACGCCCACCCGTGTTTTATCCAAGTAGTCTTGGCGCGACTATCAACCGACAAGGTATTTTTTTAGAATTCTCAAAAATACCCTGCAAACTATAGGCGCGACTATCAGCCGACAGCCTGTTCAAGCAACACTGAGTGCCACTGAGCTGTGCAGTTTACTGTCTTTTCCTACTTGCTAACCTGTCTACTGGCGCCGCGCTCACTGGAAGATGTCCAAGGATCTGCTGGTTCTAGCAACGCCTTACTAAGGCGTCTAGGCGGCGCTACGACTAGACCCCCTCGCCTACGATCCGCGTAGCTGACAGTAGTTACGCTCTAAGAGCGTTGTGTACCAATTTCACCACCGGCGGGGTACTTCTCGTGAATGCCACGTCAGCGTCAACGTGGCGTCAGGTCCAGCTCAGTCCACCAGTGCCACGTCAACGCCATCCGCGCGTGACATGCTGCCGCGTCAGCCGCTCTCGCCTCGACCCCCCCTCCCTCGCCACCCTCCCCCTTGCGCCACCCGCCAACCTCCGCCTCCCCGAACTCCCCAATACCCCTCACTACCCACTCCTCCCCCTCCACATTCGCCTCCCCCTCTCCATTCCTCCCCCCCTCCCTCCCCTTCCCCCTCCCCCCCCGCCCCCTCCCGCGCCCCTTTTTTCCTCGCAGGCCAGCACGCTCGTATTGGCGGAGCACACGGGGAGGGGCGCGGGGGGCTCCGCCGCGACGCTAAAGCCACCCACCCTCTCCGCCCTGGCGGCGGCGCGGAAGCTGGGTGGGCCCGTGGCGGTGCTGGTGGCGGGGAGTAGTGAGGCGGTTGCTGACGTGGCAGCTGCCGTGGCGAAGATGGAAGGGGTGGACGAGGTGGGTGGATGAGGTGGGTGGATGAGGTGGGGGGATGAGGTGGGTGGATGGTGATGTGGCTACCTAGACGTACGCGTGCAAACGCCGCATCTCCCCTCTGCACATGCAAGCATGCATGTATTTATGTATTTATGCATGCACTTCCTGCCAAAACAACCGTGGACGTTGGTAGCAGTGGCAAGGTGTGAGTGCCCACTGCACGTGCATGCGCCCACTTCAACCCTCCCCTCCTCCCCCCACATGTGGGCCCGGGCCGTGGACGTCGGTAGCAGTGGCAAGCTGTGAGAGGAGCTCACATCTCCGCTCCGCTCCGCATCTCCCCGCCGCACGTGCAAGCGCATCTCCCCTCCGCACGTGCAAGCGCATCTCCCCTCTGATCCTACACCATCCCCACCTCCCTCTTTGTCATCTTCTCAGGTGATTACAACAGAGAGCCCCGCCCTGGACAAAGCGCTGCCGGAGCCCCTGGCAGCGCTACTGACAAGCCTCGCCGCCCAGCGGTCCTTCTCGCACGTCCTCGCTGCCTCCTCCACCTTCTCCCGCAGCGTTCTGCCACGTGTCGCCGCGCTACTGGACGCCGCTATGGTGTCTGACGTGGTGGAGATCGTTGATGAGAAGACCTTTGTGCGGTGAGGGAGGCGAAGGGGGAAAAGGGGAGGGGGGGGTGGGGGGTGGGGGGGCGGTCCAGGGAGGGCTGGGAGAGAGTGCGGAGAGAGTGCAAGGAACCATGTGGGTGCGTTGCTGCGCTGCTGGACGCCGCAATGGTGTCTGGCCTGGGGGAAATAGTGGAGGAGAAGCCCTTTGTGCGGTGAGGGTGGGGTGCGTGGGGGACTGGAGGAAGTGGAGTGTATCGAGGAGAAAGGGGAGGGCTGGGTTTGTCGCCGCGCTACTGACGCCGCTATGGTGTCTGGCGTGGCCTAGATCGTCGTTGAGAAGACCTTTGTGCGGTGAGGATTGGACAGGTGGGAGAAGGAAGGGGAGATGCTATGTGCTGCTGCTGCCACTTATCGCCTCGCCACTGGATGCCGCGATGGTTGGGATCATAGCTGAGAGAGCCTTTGAGGCGCCTCAAAAGCCGCGATGGTTGGGATCATAGCTGAGAGAGCCTTTGAGGCGCCTCAAAAGCCGCGATGGTTGGGATCATAGCTGAGAGAGCCTTTGAGGCGCCTCAAAAGCCGCGATGGTTGGGATCATAGCTGAGAGAGCCTTTGAGGCGCCTCAAAAGCCGCGATGGTTGGGATCATAGCTGAGAGAGCCTTTGAGGCGCCTCAAAAGCCGCGATGGTTGGGATCATAGCTGAGAGAGCCTTTGAGGCGCCTCAAAAGCCGCGATGGTTGGGATCATAGCTGAGAGAGCCTTTGAGGCGCCTCAAAAGCCGCGATGGTTGGGATCATAGCTGAGAGAGCCTTTGAGGCGCCTCAAAAGCCGCGATGGTTGGGATCATAGCTGAGAGAGCCTTTGAGGCGCCTCAAAAGCCGCGATGGTTGGGATCATAGCTGAGAGAGCCTTTGAGGCGCCTCAAAAGCCGCGATGGTTGGGATCATAGCTGAGAGAGCCTTTGAGGCGCCTCAAAAGCCGCGATGGTTGGGATCATAGCTGAGAGAGCCTTTGAGGCGCCTCAAAAGCCGCGATGGTTGGGATCATAGCTGAGAGAGCCTTTGAGGCGCCTCAAAAGCCGCGATGGTTGGGATCATAGCTGAGAGAGCCTTTGAGGCGCCTCAAAAGCCGCGATGGTTGGGATCATAGCTGAGAGAGCCTTTGAGGCGCCTCAAAAGCCGCGATGGTTGGGATCATAGCTGAGAGAGCCTTTGAGGCGCCTCAAAAGCCGCGATGGTTGGGATCATTGCTGAGAGAGCCTTTGAGGCGCCTCAAAAGCCGCGATGGTTGGGAATCATTGCTGAGAGAGCTTTGAGGCGCCTCAAAAGCCGCGATGGTTGGGATCATAGCTGAGAGAGCCTTTGAGGCGCCTCAAAAGCCGCGATGGTTGGGATCATAGCTGAGAGAGCCTTTGAGGCGCCTCAAAAGCCGCGATGGTTGGGATCATTGCTGAGAGAGCCTTTTGAGGCGCCTCAAAAGCCGCGATGGTTGGGATCATTGCTGAGAGAGCCTTTGTGCAGTGAGGAAGGGAGGGAAGTGGGGGGAGGTTGTAGGGTGCGGGGGAAGGGGAAAGGGGGAGCGGGGGTTTTGGGGGAAGGGGTTGGGGGTTTGGGGTCAGCAATGATATTGCCCCATGGCCCAGGGACGACTGTCAAATCTGCATACACCCCACGCATACCCATTCCCCTCCGTGGTGTTGCTGGTCCTTGAAGAATTCTAAAAATAAGGAAACAGACCCACTTCCACTGTTCTGCTTCGCCCACACTGTTTGCATGCTTAACATTCACACGGTTACCTGTCTTCTCTCCTTTTCCCCCTCCCTCCCTCCCTCCCTCCCTCCCTCCTCCCTCCCCCCCTCCCCCCCTCCCTTCCAGCCCAATCTACGCGGGCAATGCTCTCGCAACAGTCTGCTGTGTGTCTCCCTTTGAGTCCTTCCTTCCCTCCTTTCCTCCCCTCCTCTCCTCCTCCTCCCCCCCCCTCCTCCCTCCAGCCCAATCTACGCGGGCAATGCTCTCGCAACAGTCTGCTGTGTGTCTCCCTTTGAGTCCTTCCTTCCCTCCTTTCCTCCCCTCCTCTCCTCCTCCTCCCCCCCCCCTCCTCCCTCCAGCCCAATCTACGCGGGCAATGCTCTCGCAACAGTCTGCTGTGTGTCTCCCTTTGAGTCCTTCCTTCCCTCCTTTCCTCCCTCCTCTCCTCCTCCTCCCCCCCCTCCTCCCTCCAGCCCAATCTACGCGGGCAATGCTCTCGCAACAGTCCCGCTGTGTCGCCCCCTCTGACTCGATCCCAACACTCCTCACCGTTCGCGCCACCTCCTTCCCGCCACCAGCTGCTGCTGACGCCGCCTCAGCACCCACCGCCTCTAAGACCACGGCCTTTGACTTCCAAGGTACGACCGCTTGGGAGGATGTGCTCACCCCACCCCCTCTGACTCGATCCCGATGCTCCTCACTGTTCGCGCCACCTCCTTCCCAGCACCACCTGCTGACGCCGCCTCAGCACCACCGCCACTAAGACCATGGCGTTTGACTTCCAAGGTACGACCGCGTGGGAGGATGTGCTCACCCCACCCCCTCTGAATCGACCAACGCTCCTCACCGTTCGCGCTACCTCCTTCCCGGCAGCAGCTGCTGACACCGCCTGGCCATCTGCTGCTAAGACCATGACCTTTGTATTACGTCGCACTTTGCTGCTAAGTCCGAGTCCCACTTTCGCATCGATCTATATATCTCTCCACTCTCCTCCTTTTCCTCTCCGTGCCATTTCGTCCTCCTCCTCCTTTCCCCCTACTTCCCTAGCTGACACAGCGTCACAGGGAGGAAAGGAGGAGTTTTTCTTGGGCCGGGGAAGAAAGGAGTTTTTCTTGGGCCGGGGAGGAGTTTCAATAAACTTAAGAGTCACCTTAAGAGTCACCTTAAGAGTCACCTAAGAGTCTTCCCGTTCCCCCTTTATTTCCCCCCCCCTTTTTTAGCCCCCGCGGCAGAAAATTCCGTGTGGGTCGGGCAGGAGTTGCGGGCAGCTGACGGCCGGACCTGGGCAGCGCGAAAGTTGTGATTGCTGGCGGGCGGGGGCTGAAGAGTGAAGAGAATTTCAAACTGCTGGAACAACTAGCAGACAAACTGGGAGGGGCAGGTGAGAGACTGGAACATGGGAAGCGAGAGTAGGAGGTGGTTGTTGGAGAGTGCCAGACTGCTGGAGCAGCTGACAGACAAACTGGGAGGGGCAGGTGAGAAGTGAAACCGGAGTGAACTATGATGGGGGCAAAGGAGATGGGGAGGTGGGCAAGGAAACTTTGACAGTAGGAATTGGAGGAAGGAAGGGGGAATGATGGGGTGCTGAAGGCGAAGATACCTTCAAACTGCTGGAACAACTGACAGACAAACTGGAGGGACGGGTGAGGACTGAAGCATGGGCAAAGGAGATGGGCTGGTGGCAAGGGTAGCTTTGACAGTAGGAATAAGAGGAGAGTGGGGGTTGAAGAGTGAAGAGATCTTCTAGGAGATGGGCTGGTGGCAAAGGAAGCTTTGACAGTAGGAAAAGGAGGAGAGGGAGAGGTTTAGGAGGTGGGGGGCTGAAGAGCAAAGAGATTCTCAAGCTGCTGGAGCAGCTAGCACACAAACTGGGAGGGGCACGTGAGGACTGCAACATTCGCTTCTACCGTATATGCTTCAATCTGCTTCTATATGTTTCTATGTGCTTCTATATGCTTCTATATGCTTCAATCTGCTTCAGTCTGCTTCTACATGCTTCAATCTGCTTCAATCTGCTTCTATATGCTTCTATGTGCTTCTATATGCTTCTATATGCTTCTATGTGCTTTATATGCTTCTATATGCTTCTATGTGATTCTTTATGCTTCGTTATGCTTCGTTATGCTTCTATATGCTTCTATATGCTTCTATGTGCTTCTATATGCTTCTATATGCTTCGACATGCTTCTATATGCTTCTATATGCTTCTACATGCTTCTATGTGGTTCTATATGCTTCTACATGCTTCTACATGCTTCTACGTGCTTCTATATGCTTCTACATGCTTCTACATGCTTCTACATGCTTCTACTTGCTGCTGAAATGCCAAGTTCTTTTCATGGCTCCTAACCCCTTCCTCCTCTCTTGCCTCCCCGGAGTCACCCTCCCCGGTCAATCTTCCTTCCTCCCCCGCTCTTTCTTCGCATCCCTCCCCCCATCTCCTTTCCGTACCTCCCCCCTTCTTTCTCTTCACCCCCCCCCCCTTTCACTATCCTCACATCTTCTCCTTTCTTCCTTCTCCCCCACGTCCCTGCCTTTTCCTTTCCTACCAGTGGGTGCTTCTCGAGCAGCTGTTGACGCAGGCTACGTCGCAAACGACCTGCAAGTCGGGCAGACTGGCAAAATTGTCGCCCCAGATCTCTACATGGCTTTTGGAATTTCGGGCGCGATTCAGCATCTGGCGGGCATGAAAGATTCTCGGACGATTGTGGCCGTTAATAAGGATGCCGACGCTCCGATCTTCCAGGTGGCGGATTACGGGCTGGTGGGAGATTTGTTTCAAGTGCTGCCCGAGCTCCTAGAGAAAATTCCTGCTAAGGCGTAATGGACGTCACAATTTGTGCCACTGATAGTGACACCTGGAGGAGGAAACATTACTAATCCTGCCAAAACATTATTATTGTAGTGTCTATGGTGGTATATTTGTAATGTTGGTTATTTGTGTTGTGAGACATACCTTCCCTTCGATTGACAAATCATGAATATCAAACTGCACTGCAGCAACAACTGTGAATGCACCATAGAAGCGAAAAAGCATATGGCAGCACTGGCGGTAGACGAAAGGCCATAAGACGACTTCAGCACTTGAGCCAACCCCTTTAGGAAAGGAAGGATCGAGGGCAGGGAGGCACAAGTAGTGAAAAACGGCCGCAAAAAAAAAAGGATCCTTGACTTGATACTGCTTCTCCTGCTGCTGCTGCTGCTGCTGCTGCTGCTGCTGATGCTGATGCTGATGCTGATGCTGATGCTGATGCTGATGCTGATGCTGATACTGATGCTGCTGCTGATGCTGATGCTGATACTGATGCTGCTGCTGATGCTGCTGCTGCCGCCGCCGCTGCTGCTGATGCTGCTGCTGCTGCTAATGCTGCTATTGCTGCTGCTGTTGTTGCTGCTGTTGCTGCAGTCGATGCTGCTGTCGCTGCTGTGTTAATACTGCTGCCGAGCACTCCACTCCTATCATACTATGCTGCTCCTCCAGTCCACGCAGACGCCCCCAGAATCGACTTGCCATTTCACAGCAGCCTCACCCCCCCCAGCTCATGCCGCTCCACTGCAAACCCCTTTCGGATACAGCGCGATCAACTCTCTCAACCCCCACGTGCTCCTCTTACTGTAATGCTGTGACCTGATGAGTGATGCCTGATGAGTGATGCCTCACCACAGCCCCTACATACTCCTTCTACTGTATATGCCGTGCCCTAACCCCCTCATCCACTCCCATCCTCCCCCCCTCCAGTCCACGCAGACGCCCCCAGAATCGACTTGCCATTCCATAATAACCTCACCCCCCCAGCTCGTGCCGCTCCACCGCAAACCCTTTCGGATACGGCGCGATCAGTTCCCTCAACCCCCACATGCTCCTCCTACTGTAATGCCGCGCCGCCACCCCAACCTCCCCATCCGCACATGCATCTGGTCGAGGCTCTCAGCCCTTACCAGCCTCTGCATTCCCTCACAGGCTACTAGATTCACCATTTCCCGCGCGAGCACAAACTCCTCAAAGCCGCGGCGGCCGAAGGAGAAGCGCGAGGCGAGGGCCTCGTGCGAGGCGAATACGTTGAGGAAGAAGTGGAGGGAGTCACGGAAACGTTGCAGGAAGAAGGGCTGCTGCTGGTTGGAGTCCCACTCGACCAGGGTGATAACCTTGGGCTCCAGCTGCAGGATTCTCTGGGGGAGGGGAAAAGGGGGAAGAGGGGCGGGTGGGGGGGAGGGAAAAGGTGGTGGGTGAAAAGTGAGTATGTGAGGGACGGATGAAAGAGAGGCGAGAGAGGGCCTCGTGGGTGGCGAAGACGTTGAGGAAGAAGTGGAGGGAGTCTCGGAAGCACTGCAGGAAGAAGGGCTGCTGCTGGTTGAAGTCCCACTCGACCAGGGTGATCACCTTGGGCTCCAGCTGCATGATCCTCTAAGGGGAGGGAGAGAGCGGGTTGGGGGGTGGAGTGGGCATGTATTGTATGTATGTATGTACAGTGGTGCAGAGGCTGTTGCTGGTTGGAGTCCCACTCCACCAGGGTGATCACCTTGGGCTCCAACTGCATGATTCTCTGGGGAATTGGGGGGGAAGGGGGAGGAGGGGCCAAAGGAAATGGGGGCGGGTAGAGAGGGGTAATGAGGGGAGACAAGGAGCGTGAGCATGTGTTCGAGAGTCGCCCTGCCACATTCACCAGCACACACTCCCGTCAAATCCTTGTGGCATTTACCATCACTGATGCGCCCTAACCATAGATTCGGTATCCTTACCATAGATTCGGTATCCTTGCCATAGATTCGGTATCCTTACCATAGATTCGGTATCCTAACCATAGATTCGGTATCCTTACCATAGATTCGGTATCCTTACCATAGATTCGGTATCCTAACCATAGATTCGGTATCCTTACCATAGATTCGGTATCCTTACCATAGATCCGGTATCCTAACCATAGATCCGGTATCCTAACCATAGATTCGGTATCCTAACCATAGATTCGGTATCCTTACCATAGATTCGGTATCCTTACCATAGATTCGGTATCCTTACCATAGATTCGGTATCCTTACCATAGATTCGGTATCCTTACCATAGATTCGGTATCCTTACCATAGATTCGGTATCCTTACCATAGATTCGGTATCCTTACCATAGATTCGGTATCCTTACCATAGATTCGGTATCCTAACCATAGATTCGGTATCCTTACCATAGATTCGGTATCCTAACCATAGATTCGGTATCCTTACCATAGATTCGGTATCCTTACCATAGATTCGGTATCCTTACCATAGATTCGGTATCCTTACCATAGATTCGGTATCCTTACCATAGATTCGGTATCCTTACCATAGATTCGGTATCCTTACCATAGATTCGGTATCCTTACCATAGATTCATTACCCTTACCATAGATTCATTACCCTTACCATAGATTCATTACCCTTACCATAGATTCATTACCCTTCCCACAGATTCATTACCCTTCCCACAGATTCATTACCCTTCCCACAGATTCATTACCCTTCCCACAGATTCATTACCCTTCCCACAGATTCATTACCCTTCCCACAAATTCAGGGCCCTTCCCACAGATTCATTACCCTTCCCACAGATTCAGGGCCCTTACCATCACTGCAGAATCCTTGGGGCTGTGCCGCAGGACTGTAGAGTCTGCCACACACGCCAGCCGCCCAGCAACATTCACCAGCACACACTCCCCCCGCTCCACTCCAATTGCCGCCGCCCGCAGCGTCTCCGGCGCCGCCTCGACCCGGGAAAAGGACAAGCTCACACCGCACTCCTGCGCCACCCGCAGCAGCTCAGCCTGCAGGAAAGCCGCAGGAAGCTTCGGACCCGTCCCATAGGGGTGACCATAGGGAGGATCTACAGCGGTGAAACGAATTCGGAGGAAGGAGGGAGGGATGGGAGAGGAGGAGGAGCAGGGTGAGGAACCTTGAAGGGGAGTGGGGGAGGGTGAGGAGGAGGCGGGTTGGGAGGGAGAGGAGAAGGCGGATGGTGATTGCCGGGCATGGCTGCTGGTGCTGCTCCCCGCTCGGTGACTGTTGCTACCGCCAGCAGCAGCACCACCACTAGTGTTACTCCTCACGTTACTGCTAGGGTTACCACCAGTGGTGGTAGCACCAATGTTGCTGGTAACGCCGGCCGCAGCCATTCTTTTCCGGGCAGCTGCTGCCAGCTGGCGGATGACAACTGGCCACTGGCCCGCCCACATGGCAAAGTCAACAATGTGGATGTTGGGCTCGTTCTCTGCTGCATCCTGCACGGAGAAGTAGGGGAGGGTGGGGGGTTTGGGGGGTATAGTGGTGAGTGTGGGTGGGGGTGGGGTAGGGGGGTGGGTTGTGTTTGAACACATGGCAAAGTCGACAATGTGAATGTTGGGCTCGTTCTCTGCTGCATCTTGTAAGCAGAAGGGGTGTGTGGGGGGTTGGGGTTGATTGAGGTTGGGGTTGGGGTTGGAAGGTGGGTTTGTCTGCCCACACAGAAAATTGGACAGTGTGAATGCTGGGCTCATTCTCTGCTACGCCCTGCCAGGAGAGGAAATGGCAAGGCCAACAACGTGATGGCAGGGGGATGTCTTGTGCATTCCGCACAACGCGATGCCAACAACGCGAGGAAATGGCAAGGCCAACAACGCGATGGCAGGGGGGTAGACTAGACTGCTCCCTTGTGCATTCCGCACACAGTGGATGTCTTTTACGCGCCTAAAAAATCCTCCTGCGGTGCACGCACGCACGCACACACGCACGCACGCACGCAGTGACTTTTGAGTCGACTCAAAAGCCACCTCGTTACAATGGTGGCGCACACACGCACGCACAGTGCACCAGTGCACAGTTTAAAACCCCTGCTGAATGCCACACGCACCCCTGCTGTCGTTATCCATCCCCTTCCAGCTCTGTGCAAGCCTTACCACCACTCTGCACTCCCTCTGACAACTTCCCAGTCCTCACCATACCAGCATCGGGAAAACCCCTGCCAACGCTGTGCAGAACACCCAGCAGCACTGTGCAGAACATTTACCCGCACTTATCTCTCCTCACCAGCATGGCACAGGCCAGGGCGGAGTAGCAGAACTGGAGAGTGGGGCAGTGGGCTGCGAAGGCCAGGATCAGTGCCTCCTCCTGCGGTGGACCGGGAAGGGGGGTGCGAGCAGGAGGGAAATGCGATGAGGGTGTGGTGGGGGAGTGGGGTGTGAAAGACAGAGAGGAAACGGAGAGGGCATGGGGGAGGATGGGGGTATTGGGTGTGGAGCAGGCACGTTGCATGGTTGCGGTGGACCATGCACGTTGCATGGGTGCGGTGGACCATGCACGTTGCATGGGTGCGGTGGACCATGCACGTTGCATGGGTGCGGTGGACCATGCACGTTGCATGGGTGCGGTGGACCATGCACGTTGCATGGGTGCGGTGGACCATGCACGTTGCATGGGTGCGGTGGACCATGCACGTTGCATGGGTGCGGTGGACCATGCACGTTGCATGGGTGCGGTGGACCATGCACGTGGCATGGGTGCGGTGGACCATGCACGTGGCATGGGTGCGGTGGACCATGCACGTGGCATGGATGTTGACGTTGCACCGCTCAGGTAGGCAATGTGGTCCATCTATGCCAAGAGCCCCAGAAACCCTCAGAGCAAGATGGGCGAGCAGGCAATAGCATGGTGGCAGGAGCTGCGGTGAAACCCCCAGGAGCCCCTAAACCAAACTGCAGCTCACCTCAGGCGCCCCCTGACAGTAATTTCGTTTTGAGTCGATTCAAAACCCCCAGGTTCCCTCAACTGAACTGAACTGCACTGCACTGCACTGCACCGCACCTCAGGCGCCCCAGGTGCCCCTGAGGAGAGCAGGCAATGTAGTCTGTGCCCAGCGCCCCCAGCAGCCCTCTGAGCGAGGGCAGTGTGAGGAGTCTATGTTTGAGGCGCCTCAAAATTAGACTGCCCCTGAGGAGAGCAGGCAATGTAGTCTGTGCCCAGCGCCCCAGCAGCCCCAGCAGCCTGCTTAGCGAGGGCAGAGAGCAGGTAGCGACCTACAGCACGAACACCAACTATTGCTACCCATGTGTGGCAGGCAGATACCAAGCCCCCTCACAGTCAGCTCACCTCAGGTGCCCGGCTCAGGTAGGCAATGTAGTCTGTGCCCAGTGCCCCAGCGGCCCTCTTAGCTAGGGCAGTGAGCAAGTAGTGCACTATGCGCTGCATTGGCGTGCCGTAGGGTGATGACAGGGGCGCAGGCGCCTGGTGAGGGCAACCATCCGCGGCTGTAGTGGGGGAAAGGGGGGAGGGGGGGGAAGGAAGAGGGAGGTGGCAGGGATGGGAGGGGAAGGCAGCAGTGAGAAGGAGGTGGCAGGTGGCAAGTAGTGCACTATGCGCCGCATTGGCGTGCCGTAGGGTGATGACAGGGGGCGCAGACGCCTGGTGAGCGCGACCATCCGTGGCTGGTATGGGGGAGAAATGGTGGAAAAGGGGGAGGCGGGTAGCCTGGGATGGGAGGCGAAGGCAGCATTGAGCGCATCATCCGACACCCTACCGCTCTCCAAGTCCCGCCCACTCCCCAAGTCCTGCCCACTCCCCAAGTCCTGCCCACTCCCCAAGTCCTGCCCACTCCCCAAGTCCTGCCCACTCCCCAAGTCCCGCCCACTCCCCAAGTCCCGCCCACTCTCCATATCCCCATAATCTCTCTCCCCTCTCCCCCCCCGCCCACTCTTTCCGTCTCACCTGATCACCGGTAGCAACAGCTTCAGCCAGTTTCAGGAGGTCGTCCTTGAGAGAATCGTCCGACACGCGCCCACTCTCCAAGTCCCGCACACTCTCCGTGTCGCCAAACGCACTCAGCCCCCGCGGAACGTGCTCCACTCTTGGCTGATTGCCTGCCGTCTGATAGACTCTCGGCTGATTGCCTGCCGTCCAACCCACTCTCGGCTGATCGATAGATTGTGGCTGCTGCTGCCCCAGCCCTGCTCTTACAACCCCCGCAGCCACTGCTCCGATCCCGAAGCGCCACCTGGCGCCCCTCCCACTGCGTGACTGTATATGCATCTGTCAATGTGCGCTGCTGGTGCGTGCTTGTATCGAAGGCGCTTATACTGAACGGTATCTTGCTGTTCTGCCTGCTGCAGTTACCCAATCCGGG